TGGTGCCCAGCAACTGTGGGGCTTTGTGAATGTAGCCAGAATGATGTTGGGACCAGAAATAATAAGTGATACCTAGCGATGGTGAGGCTGTGTGAATGCAGCCAGCATGATGCTGAGACCAGAAGAAATAGATGGTGCCCAGTGACTGTGGGGCTGTGAGAATGCAGCCAGAATGACACTGAGATCAGAAAAAATAGATGGTGTCTAGAGACTGTGGGGCTTTGTGAATGCAGCCAGTGTGACACAGAGACCAGAAGAAATAGATGGTGCCCAGCAACTGTGGAGCTGTGTGCATGCTGCCGGCATGATGCTGAGACGAGAAGAAATAGATGGTGCCCAGCAACTGTGGAGCTTTGTGAATGCAGCCAGAATGATGCTGGTACCAGAAGAAATAAGTGATACCTAGCGGTGAAAGGCAGTGTGAACGCAGCCAGTGTGACGCCGAGACAAGAAGAAATAGATGGTGCCCAGCGACTGTGTACTGTGTGAATGCAGCCAGCCTGGCACTGAGACCACTGCTGGCCGCTCTTAAGGATTGCACTACAAAGACTGTGGAGCTGTGTGAATGCAGCCAGTGTGACGCTCTGACCAGAAGAAATAGATGGTGCCCAGCTGCCACTGCTGGCCATGCTCAAGGGATCTCACTAGAAGGCTCCTGCTAGTATAGGAGGAAAATGTGAATACAAATAAAAACCCTCCCAAAGAGTGTGCTATGGTTCTGATAGAGACCGGTGGAGCCCCTAAGACGATGTCCCTTGGTCACACTTCAGCTCCTCAGACAGTGTCCTCAGTTCTGATAGCCAGGAATTAAATGTTTATAACTTTTTACATAAATGCTTATAACTGATAATGTACCTACCTTTTAAAAGGTAATCTATTGAAAGATACTAAAAATTGATATCTTTTAAATTTCCAAATTACCAAGTTACCTCCTTGAAAGTGGATTGATTTTTTTTGCTGCCCATACTCGATTCCATCTTTCTGTCATTCTGAAGCAGCTGGTGGATTCAAACCACAAACCTCTGGGTGAGCAGCCTGCCGTGTTGTGCACTAGCCCACCTTCCTCCTTTGAGGATACATGTATAGACACTGCTCAGTTTGAGGTTCAAGAACTCACTTAAAAAAAAAACCAGATTAAATGGAAATAAAATATATTTTTGATCCATTATGTTGCCTTAATACTGTTTTACTTTTAAACACTCGCTATTCTTAGGATATTTGAACTATGTTAGCTTCATCTCCTAGAAAGTAGGGAGGTCTGGTGATGTTAGTGCTAAGGAACTGCCAACTCAAAGGCACGCAGTTCAAATCCACCAGCTGCTCTGTGGGAGAGGGATGGACAGTCTCCCCCTGTGCACTTTACTGTCTCTAAAAACCCACTCGAGGGTCAGCTGTGGGTACACAACAATAATGAAATTAGTTTTGAAAGCTGTGTTATGAATTGCTCAATCCTGCCTGCTGCACACAATTTGTTGTTAAATTCTGTGCTGTCTGACATTCCTCTTTTAGCTGTGCTGTGTAGGTGTGTGGGTCATCCTGGCCCCGGCCCTGCCCTCTGCTCGGCCAGCCTGTACTTCCTCTCTGTTCTCCTGACCGAGGAGGCCAAAAGGCTTCTGCGGAGCAAGGGGAAAACCAACGTCAGCCACGGGCCGACCCTCACGTTTCTGCTGGACAACGTGGACAGGAGTCAGCTGCTTCATGAAGTAATTCTTCAGGTATGTGATTTCTCTATTTTCCAGAACTTTATTAATTTGGTTTGTCCTTAAATGAATCAACTTTCCATCTTAGTCTTTTAAAATTGTATTTAATCATTTGAATGAAAAAGTAATGGTCCTGACTATTCAGAAAACGCAAAAGTATCTGAAGTTGAGCGTCTCTGCTGCCGCCTCACCTTCTAGTGGTGACGGCCCTTTAATGAAGGTGGTAGAAACATTCCAGGTAGAGTCGTGTCGTCTAAACCCTGCAGTTTTTTTACACCAGTACCACATCCTGACTAAAATGGCTGTATTTCAGAAGAGCACCTGTGATTCAGAGGTGTTGTCATTGTAAAGATACGTGTACATCTCTGAAAATACAGTCACCAGATGGCCTCGGGGCCCCACAAGTGGTCATGGTTGGAGGGTGGTTATGTGCAGAGGAGTGGACAGATGGATTCTGCTCAACACCTTTTCTAAGTCCAGCTTGTTCTTTATAAATGGATTTTTCACAACCCTCAGATGTGAATCAATGATTTAGACCATCCAAAGACATTCTATAATGCATCACTCAGAAAGGATCAAGACTTTGTGAAACACTACACAGTGTGGATTAATATAGAAGAAACTATGCTGAGTGACATACATTAGTCCCAAATGGACAATTATGATATAAAGCCACTAACATACGCAGCTTAGTTTACTCACAACTGGAAACAACCTTGGCGAGTTAACAAGGGTAACAAGGGAAGGAGAGAGGAGAGAAAATTAATAACTAGACCAGTAGGCTGAAGGGAAAGGCGCTACATTAAAACTCAAAATATTTTCAAGTTACTGAGACATTTTGCATGTAAACTAACAAACCATGAAAATGTTCCCTGTGTTGAAGTTGTGTGGTTGTTTTTCAATATAGGAATATTACTAGAGTTTGAGTGTTAATAACCCCTTTTCTAATAATCGTACAACTTAAAAATCATAGGATTTTGTGTTCACACAGATAAATGAAAAGGCTGTGCACTGTGCCCTGGAAGAGTCCAAGTTCTCAGCCAGCCGGCATGTTTTCACAGAACAGGGCTTGTTCCTGGCCACTGGGGCCTCCAGGCCCCTTTGCTGGTTAGAATCTGAAGGCCTTGCTGCTTTTCTGCGGCTCACGTCACGGTCACGGGGTGTTCATGCTTAGGCTGCTCATGGTTTTGAGCCCTGGCTCCACCTGGGTAGTAGGCA